CTTACCTATGCATCTCAGGTGGAGGGGCGGTGCTTACCTATGCACCAGGTGGAGGGGCGGTGCTTACCTATGCATCTCAAGTGGAGGGGCGGTGCTTACCTATGCATCTCAGGTGGAGGGGCAGTGCTTACCTATGCATCTCAGGCGGAGGGGCAGCGCTTACCTACACCCACGTGGGCTTCCAGGATCATGCTGACGTCGTTGGCGCCATCTCCGATTGCTAATGTAATAGGGTGCTCTTTTGAAAGTTTGATTAATTTAACAATCTGTAAAAGAAATAAACGCAGAATTTATCTTCTATGTCTCACTTCTGCGCAAGTCAACACCAACCAGGCAGAAATCACAGAGGCGCAGTTGGTGTGGGAGGGAGACTGCTCACTTGGCCTTCATTTACTTCATTCGGTACCTTTTGTCCACAGAGGGTAAAACGTTTCTTATTGAAAACAAAACAAAATAAAGCAAAAGTAATTAAAATATCGTGAACTGAGTCGGCCAGAAAGTAAACCTGGATGGCAGAGAGGTACACGACGAGCTTCTGGTCACCGCTGTTAATCCATCCCTATGTTTAAATACCCAGGGACAACGGTAAACACAAAATTCTATCAGGAGACACTGCTTGTCCGAGGCATTCCAAGTGATTTGGTATAAGACATCTATTTTTTTGAAATAAGACATTCCTAACACTATTTTAATCCTCACATTTGTCACGTGTGCAAATTCAAACATGATAATTTAACACAAATCTATTTCCACATTTTTAATTTCTTTGTAGTTTTTTATTTTCATTTATGTATAGCTAAGTGTGATGGTCCAAGACACAAGGGTAAAATGACAGGGTGTGGGCACTGCCTTCTCGTCTCAGGAGGAGGGACTGAAACACAGAGCAGCTTGTATCAAACGTCTCAGACTCCAGCCGATGACGTGAAGATCCCACGGAGGATCACCGTGTGAGGCTCACGCAGAACCAAACACCCAGGAGGAGCAGGAAATAAGCCAGATGGAGTATCTGTGAGTCCCTCAGTCCCAGCCTGAACCACCCTAGGGAACCACCCCAGGGACAGCAGGGTCACGGTGCACAACCACCCATAGGCCCACAGGCCGCCTCACTCTCAGTGTCTACCCACGAGAGGTGCTTCCAACACCCTCTGGGTCAGGCTGAAAAGTTACAGAATTTTTCATGAACAATATGAGCTAAACTGGCCTGTTTTACTTAAAATGTGGTATAACAATGCTGAACTGTTCTAGTTTTACTGATGTCAGAAAAATACCCATGTTTACATATGTCCCATAGTGCTTTTAAAGGTATTTAAAAAATATTTCAAGTTTGTATTTCCTGTGGAAACATGGCAGACTGAGGGGTCTGGAGTCTGATGGATGAGGAGTCAAATTCTCCTGCTGCCCTGCAACCTCTGGAGGGTCATTCCAACCTGTGGAACCAGGAGGCCTCATTCCTCCCTCAGGCTGTTCCATAGGTTGTTAGCTGCTCTCAGCAGGTACTCAACACACACTGGGTCCTTTCCCTCCCATCTCTAGCACAGAATTCTCACAAATGGCTGAGACATGATATTATCTCATGCAAGGCACCAGGGCTGCCCTCCTGGCCTTGTCCCTGGAAGGCAGTGTCCCTGGCTGGGACAGTGGCCACTAATTGCTGAGGCTGACCTAATAAGCACAGTTGGGTCTCATTTTAAATCCCTACCGCTTTGCCTCTAGTTTAAAAAGGTGATTTTAGGAATCAGAGATTGTGAGACCTAAAAAGGGTCTCAGCATCCTATCACCAGTCTACCCACCCGCCCACCAGCAGGGGAGGTGGGCAGGACCTGGGCCTTCTGCAGGGGGGCCATGCGGCAACACAGCACAGCACTGCAGTTCCGGCAGACCTCCAAGAAGAGCTCCCGGTAGTTGGCGGAGCTCCCATCTTCTCGGGGCTTCATGATCAGGGACAGCGCAGCCCCGTCGATGATTAGCCCATAGTCCTGCAGGTCTGCTGAAAGCCTGTGAGGGAATACAAGTCAGAAAGTCAGGGGAAACTGAATTTACACATTTTGGAAGACTAGATATTTTTTTGATATGTACAGATGCTACAAATACATGGGGTAAAGAAACTAGTGTTTTTATTTGATCAGTACCAACTTTACATCATAGGATGTGATACCTGTGACTACATCGCAACACTGTCTTAATGAAACATTCTTATTTAGCCTACGTAAAGCACATGTTCCCCTCTTTGTGGATTCATGTGTAATTTCTAGCACTTCTCGAACAACAGTGGAATATTTATCTTACAGGCTAGAGGTCAGTCTTTCTTCCCAAACTTCTAGGACTCACTGGCTAACCTTGGCTTTCTTTCTTTCGAGACAGAGGTCATTTTGTTGCCCTCAATAGAGTGGTGTGGCGTCACAGCTCATAGTCACTTCCAAATCTAGATTCTCTTGCCTCAGCCTCCTGAGTGCCTACCCCAATGCCCAGCTATTTTTCTGAGACGGGGGGGTCTCACTCTTGCTCAGGCTGGTCTTGAACCTATGAACTCAGGCAATCTACCCATCTCGGCCTTCCAAGTGCTGGGATTACAGGCATGATCCGCCACACCTGTGACCTTGGCTTTCATCTGCACGCTAGCATCACCTTGCTTTTCTGCCCAGATAGTCTGAGTTGGAGAGAACGTGGTTGTAATTTCCCTTTACTGGGTTTCAAAATTATAAGGAATGTCTCTAATTCCTAAAAGGAATCCTGAAGATTAGGTGAAGAGAAATATATTTTTATGAATACTTTAAAATCTGCATATGCTTTTGCTTTGCCTACATTAGTGAAAATTTAAAATGTTTCAAATAAATTTCAATCTCAGATAATGACAATACCATCAAGGACCACAGTGATAAAATACATCTGAAGAACAGCTCAATCTTTTTAGAAAATGACAAACACCTGTGCATCACAAACATTCCCATCCTCCCCTGGCAGAGGCTTTGCAGCAGGGCCACAGAGCCCCAGGCAGAGAAGCCAAGAATAATCCCATCCACGCCATTTTAAAAAATTCTTTATTTTTTTCTTTCAGTTTTTGGTGGGGCTGGGTTTGAACCCACCACATCTGGCATATGGGGCCAGCGCCCTACTCCTTTGAGCCACAGGCGCCACCCCCTATCCATACCATTTTATCATCAGCTGGTCATATGTGTCTTTTTGCAGCTGTTACCCAGCAGTCTGGAAGTGAATGTGTACGCACACACATACGTGCAAAAAGATGTGATGACTCTGAAGGGAAGAGCTCCTGTCTCATTCCCAGTTTTAATTAGACCCACCACAGGCCTGGTATAAAACCCAGGAGAGAACTGAATTCCCACCCTCCTGCGGCAGATGCATGGTGCCTACCCTGAGAAAGTGTCCCGGGTCAGGCTGCCGCTGCCACGCAGGACAGTCTTGCTGAGCTCGAAAAGCACATCGTGCAAACTCTGCTCCTCGATCTTCTTGGTGGTCAGCTCGAGCAGCTGCGTGCTCCTCCTGAAGAGCTTGCAGGCATAGCAGGTGGCCGCTGCCGTCTCCATTTTGTCCCCTGTGAGGACCCAGACCTTGATCCCAGCCTTCTGCAAGGCTTCGATGGTATCAGCAGCTTTCTCCTGGAGCCTGAGGGTGGGAGGACAAAACATTAAGGAAAACCCACAGTGACAGAGGCGAATCGGAATAAAGTGTTCCAGAAACTTCGAAGCTGTGAAAATACTTGAGTCAAAATAAAAATACCCTGATGCTCACTCACAGTCTTGCCACAGAGCCCCCGGGCTTTTAAAGTTGGGAATTAACCTTTATCAATGACGCATGTCCTAGTGTCAGACAGATACGTACAGACGGAAGTAGCTGAGGAGGACAGCGGCTGCTTAGTGTGATCTACCTTTGACAAGCACAGCAGGTCTCCGTGTAGCTGAGACTGCCACCTGGAGAGGAGTTTTGGGATCTGGACCAAGATGGTCAGAGATATTCATCACCTTTTGTTTTGGTATTAAAATTATTCTGAGTTTGCTACTAAGCAACCTGGAACCCAGAATCTTCTAAATAACACAGAACGCTGATGACACCACCAGTGACCAGCTCACATGCACCACTCCCACCATAACCTTATAGGGCAAGGACTCTGCTGTCACCCTCATGGTACATATGGGAACCCCAAAGCTTCAGATACTATAAAATGTGTCCGAAGGTAAAGGGCTCTCCTCACACTGCTGAGGCTGTGTCCTGCCCTTGGAAGGTCTGATATCAAAATCACATTTGCCTCATTGGTGGCCTGTCTTTTTTTTTTTTAGATTTTAGAGTCCTTACTTTCAACAGTCATATGAAGTAGCGTGTTATGTTTCCATAAAGTACTGAACAGAAGGAACAGACTAAAATTCTAACATAATGATCTGGCTAGACTTTGTGGAAAGGCTCAATATCACACAATCATAGCACTCTAGCGATGAAAAACACCTAATAATTTTAGAGGTTTAATGATAAATACCTCTAATTTTATAATCTTTATTCAAAGGGAACTAAGGCCCAGAGAGGTTTGTAAATATAGGGGCTAGAGATTTTGGAGAAGTATTTTGTAATCAAGTATCATCACTTTGTGATGCCCCTGGAGGCAGTAACTCTAATTTTCCTTGTCCTCACCCAGCCCAGCCGCCTCTCCACTGCCTGGCTGCTCTGGGGGCAGCCCCCATCTGCAGCAGCCACTGCTCTGCCCCCACCCCTGCCTTCAGGGAGTAGTCTCTGCCGTTCCCCTTGCAAAGACCATGTCCTGGGACATCCCTCTTCTCTCCAGGGAGAGTCACTTGGCACCAAAACAGAGCTGGGCTCCAGCGCCTGCCAATGACTGAGCCATCATTACCCACACCTCCCGTTCGAGGTGGCTTCTCACGTGGTGCTTTGAGTTCTTATTGAAAGGGAATGTGACTTAAAAACTGAATGAAAAGTGGCTTGGGGCCCATAGCTCCTTGGTTAGGGCGCCGGCCATACACTGGGGCTGGTGGGTTTGAACCCAGCCTGGGCCTGCTAAACAAAAGTGACAACTGCAACAAAAACAGCTGGGTAGTTGTCATGGGTGCCTATAGTCCCAGCTACTTGGGAGGCTGAGGCAAGAGAATTGCTTAAGCCCAAGAGTTTGAGGTTGCTGTGAGCTGTGATGCCCTGGCATTCTACGGAGGACAAGAAAGTAAGACTCTGTCTCAAAAAAAAAAAAAAAAAAAAACTGAATGAAACACAAAATCATCCAAACCACAACTTCCTGCATTGCCCAATACTCCATTCAGATCAAGAACTCCGGAAACACAGCAGAGCCTCTGCAGCTGACCACCTCCTTAAGTGGACCTGAATTTTCACAGACCAGACAGGCCCCACATGGACGTACAGTGCAGCAGGCCCAGTCCCTTATGCTGACCACCTCCATATGTTAACCAGCGTGTTATAGTCCATGGGTGGTCAATTTACAGAGGTTCTTCTGTATTTGTTAAAGACATGAAAATGGATAGTTAGAGGATTTAAGTTCGGGACAAAAATGGATCTTAAAGATGTTCAAATTTTTAACCTCTTCCAAAAGATTAACTCTCAGTAAATTTCTGAAAGTTTTTGTTTCTAACTTCAAGTGTTTTTTTCTCTTCTCCCTCCCTTCAAAACAAATGGTAATCTATGTTTTCTTCTGCTCTCGAGGCGAGAGAGCAGGTGATGACCATTTCTCAGCAGATGAAGCCTCAGCCCACCCAGGCCTGGCTGTAGAAGGGACCGGACGGTCCTTCCCTACAGGTCTCTGAAAATTGAATTGACAATTTAGCCAGAAGTTTTTTTTTTTTTTTTTTTTTAACAAAGTTCCACTCTGTTAAGTTTTTCACTAAGTGATGACAAACACATCAATTATGTGAAGTTCTAAAAAGTAACACCTGTATCTAGAAAGTACTAGGAACAAGTTTAGGAACAGAACTAGTTACTGATTTCATTCTAAAGAATAATTTTAAAACCCCTCTATCTTGACCATCTGTAATATGTGCAAATGGTATTTTCACTATTTCTGAGAGAGTATCACTTCAGGCATCTCATTCTCCCAGGGTAAGACAGTGTCCAGGCATGACCTGGCACGGCACATGGGGGGCAGACTAGCTTCTGCCTGAAGGATCAATTCCTACCTCAGACATTCTGTGTCTGGCTCTGCTGACTCTGCTGACATCTGGCTTCCCCTGAAGGGTTCCTGCCCTCCTTGTGGGAGTGGGAGTGAGTCAGTCCTCCGTGAGCAGGAGAGCTACTTTGTCAGGAGCCCAGCATCTGGCCCATCTCCCTCCTGCTTCCCACCTCACCACACACCCCCTTCATCTCCCACCGTGAGTGGAAGCAGCCCAAAGCCCTTACCAGATACAGAGATGCCAGGTTCCCAGCACAGCCTGCAGCAGCCTGCAGAGCTGTGAGTCAGATAAACCTTCCTTTGTGACTCCCCAGCCTGGGTCTCCTTTCTAGAGGGACTGAGCACCGTGGACTGTGCCCTGGCATGCAGCGCATGGGACTGAGCGCCGTGGACTGTGCCCTGGCACGCAGCGCATGGGACTGAGCGCCATGGACTGTGCCCTGGCACGCAGCTCATGGGACTGAGTGCCATGGACCGTGCCCTGACACGCAGCACATGGGACTGAGTGCTATGGACCGTACCCTGACACGCAGCGCATGGCACTGAGCGCCATGGACTGTGCCCGGGCATGCAGCGCATGGCACTGTCATCTGGTTCTGAACATCAGTGTTGGCATTTACCTGTCCTCAACTGCAGTGGCGCCGAGCAGAATAAGATCTTTCTCTATTTGCTCATAGGCTTCTGCTAATTTTTTTTCTCGATCCTGAAGAGCCACTTTGGCAGCCTGTAGCAGTTTGCAAATTCCTTCATATTCTTCTGGGATGAGCCTTTTGTAGGCAATGCACAGGGTCCGGAGCCCCTCCTGGGGAATACAAGAAGGGATGCAACTTGGACACAAAGTATCACTCCAGTTACTATTTTCAATAATTTTCTCCAGATCCCATTTTTCTAATTAGAATGACAAACCAAAGAATTACAACCCAAACAATCTGAATATAGATAATCATGGATCATAAAATCTCCAGACTAGTAAGCCTAGAAATATATAATACACATCACAGCCACCATACCAAAAGACAGACTTTGTTTCTTTATCCTGACAAGTGCAGAGGTACAGGCAGACTTTTTTTTAGGATGATAACTTGCAATTTTATGGATAATATCAAGTGATATTTCTAAAGTAAACATACTTTGAGTGGGGATCTTTTAAGGTAGTTTGATCCTGCTCAATGAAGTGGCTCCCCCACCACTAGCTGACGGAATGAACACCCGGCTTGGCCCACGGGATCCACTGAAGTGGAGTTGCCGCTGTGACTGAGAGAGGCCAGAGGCCTCATCATGCCCCCACTTCCTGAAGATGTCAAGGCCTCACAAACCTTCAGGTCCTCAATTTACATAACTAGCACATTCAGTGGCTTATCAGTCTCCAATTAATTAACAGACTTCCTCTTCTTAACTTAAAAAATTCTGAGTCTTGGAGAGAGGGAGATGAGTTTGCTCCCACTCAGTGGGCACAATGTACGGGTATGTGTCACACCTCTTGGGTGTGGGACACAATTACAAGAGGGACTCTACCTACGAAATGCAAACATTGTAACCTAGTTGTTTGTAACCTCACATTTACCTGAAAAAAAAAAAATTCCAAGCCAAAAAAGCTTCACTTCTTCCAGCAATGACAAATCAAAGAACCTATAAATCACCTATAACCCATAAGCCCCCACTTTCAGATATTCCACTTTTGGGGCCAAACCAATGTATTTCACGCATTGATTTATAACATTACCTGTAACCCTGTCTCCCTGAAATGTATAAAAGCAAACTGTCACCCAGCCACAGTGGGACCATGTGCTCAAAGCTTCCTGGTGTGACTTCAGGTCATGGTTCTCAAATTTCACTCAGAATAAATCTCTTTAAATTATTTTACAGAGTTTGGCTCCTTTTCCATTAACAGAATGAAGATGGTTAGGTTGGTTATCAAAATCACTGGACAAATAAAAATGTAAAATAGGAATTTAAGAATTGCAAAGTCTTTACTACAATTGAGATTCTGATGTCACTACCCGGAGAGCAGGTGAGGAAATCGGTCCCCCAGAAACTGCGGGCAGATACGTGGAATGCTTTGAAGACACAGACCTCGTCCTTCTCTCCAAAGTCACTCCTGGCAGGATGAACCAGGAGTTTCATCACAGTTCACATCACAGGATCACAGTTTAACTGGTGATCTCAGGTGTCCCCTTCCATTCTCCCTGTTTCTTCAGCCCCAGCTCTACTGATAATAGTGAAATAACCAAAATCCTCCTAAACAATCATTTTATTTTATTTTATTTTATTTTATTTTTGAGACAGAGTCTCAAGCTGTAGCTCTGGGTAGAGTGCTGTGAAGTTACAGCTCATAGTAACCTCTAACTCCTAGCATTAAGCAATTCTCTTGCCTTAGCCTCCCAAGTAGCTGGGACCACAGGTGCCTGCCACAATGCCTGGCTATTTTTCGGTTGTAGTTGTCATTGTTGATTGGCAGGCCCGGGCTGGATTTGAACCCGCCAGCTCTGGTGTATGTGGCTGGTGCCCTAGCTGCTTGAGCTACAGGTGCTGAGCCTAAACAATTATTTTAAAACCTGAGGTAACACTGGAATTTAGAAAGGACTTTCCATTATATGTGTTGCAAACTCCCAGTAACTTTCAGGGAGTATCCATGTTGTTCCTTACTTCTCCTGTCTGTCTGAAAGACGCCATCACCACCAGCTTCAAAGCTCTTTGGTTCGGTCCTTGGGACTCTTGAAGGCCAGAGGCCGGAGGAGTTGACAAAGGAAGGGGGACAAAAGACGTACTCTGCCCGGGTCTGGAGTGCTGTTCCCAGGAACATTCTGGAAATCCTTGCTCCCCACCCCACACTCTGTGACATGGTCAGAAGTGAGCAGGCCAAAAGCCCAGGGACCAAACACCACTTTTCCTGAGACTGAGCTCCCAAAGCTCAGGGAGCTGGGCTTGACCACTGACCCCAACCCCTCCTCAACTCAGTGGCCCTGGGGCTTTCTGGGCTGGTCGTCTCTTTCCCCGCTATGAGCTCTCTGGCTGCCGGCTATGTGTCTCACCTCCTCATAGAATCCCTAGCACATGCGAACCCCAACAACCTCTGCTGAAAAAACTGTGTAGCTGAAATTAGATCTTTTGTGTACCCGTTGTTAAGCTGCAGACAAGAATGTTAAGTGTAAAACATAAGAGACAGATGGCTTTAATCTCAAGCCAGAAAAATTACAAGAAAATGGTTACATGAGAATAATCTGGAATTTCATGTTGGTATGAATGGTGAACACAAGCTTTCAGAAATAAATGTGCTCTGGTTTTAAAAGTCCACAGGGGATTTCCTCTTGTGGAAACCCACAGAAATACTTTCTCCTATTCCTCCCAGTAAACACTACTAGAATCTCAAGTGCTCGACATCAAACAATATTAACAAATTCGCATCAACAAAACTACTTAGAACAATATCCCCTATGATACAGATGCAAAAATCCTCAACTTTTTTAACAACTAACTCCAATAGTTTACTGAAGGACCATACACCATGGCCAAGTGTCATCTGTCCCAGACATGCAAGGGGATTCCACGTATGAAAATCAATCAATCTGACATGACATTATTAGAATGAAGGGAAAAACCCACATGAGCTTCTCAATTGATGCAGAAAGAACCTGTGACAAAAATCCAACACCTTTTTATGATAAAACCACCTAATAAACTGGAAAAGGAAGGAACCCCCTCAATATGGCCACAGACATGTACAAGAACCCCACAGCTAACATCACACTCAACGGTGAGAGACTGGAAGCTTCTGCGGTCAGGAAAAAGGTATGATACCTGCCTCTGCCACTTTTATTCAACACAGCACTAGCCAGAGTAATCAGGTGCTAAAAAAGAAAAGAAGAGGCAAACCAGAAAGGATGCCTCTCTCAGGCCTTGCTATTTGTAGATGACATGATCCCATATCTAGAAAGCCAGGAAGAGCACACCCCTCCCACAAGCCATTAGCACTGAGTTTAGCAGAGACGTGGCTGTGGAGTCAATACAACCGTACACTACCACTGAACAACCTGAACAGGAAATTAAAGTCCTTTAGCAAGAGCATCAAAAAGAGTAAAACATGTAGAAACCAATTTCACCAAGGAGGTGAGAGACTTGGACTGAAAACCATAAAACATGGCTGTAAGACCCCACAGAATGCTGGAATCCAGGGAAATACAGCCCGTGCTCAGGTGTTGGAAGACTTGATCCTGCCAAGATAATGATGCCCCACCAAGTGGTCTATCTATGGGGTTGGTATAGCCCCTATCCCCCCAAAGTGGTCTATCTATGGGGTTGGTACAACCCCTATCCCCCCATAGTGGTCTATCTATGGGGTTGGTATAGCCCCTATCCCCCCAAAGTGGTCTATCTATGGGGTTGGTATAGCCCCTATCCCCCCATAGTGGTCTATCTATGGGGTTGGTACAGCCCCTATCCCCCACAAAATGGTATTTTCTGCAGGAATGGAAAAACCTATCCTAAAATTCATAAGGAATCTCACAGGACTCAGAATACCTCAAAAATCTTGTGAAAGAAAACAAAGTTTTCAAACATGTCCTGGTTTCAAAACTTTCACTACAAAGTGACATCAATCAAACAGCATGACACTGGCAAGGGCAGACACAGAGAACAGAATAGGATGGAAAGCCCGGAACTAAAGCCCTACATATGTGGCCAAACAACTTCCAACAGGGCACCAGGACTGTTAGAGGCAGAAAGAATTATCTCTTCATATATGTCAAATTTACTAGGTGTAGAATATAAATGTCCTAACACAATAACTAAGAAAATGCCGTGAAGGCTTTGTTAGCCAGTTTGATGAAAACATTTCAGATTGTATATAAAATCAGCACATTGTACACCATGTTTGCATTAATGTACACAGCTATGATTTAATTTGAAAAAAAAAGAATCATCTCTTCACCACATGCTGCTGGGAAAAGTGGATATTCACAGGAAAAAGATTAAAACCGGCCTCTTACAAAATATTCAAAAATTAGTTCAAAATGAATCAAACCCCTTAGCTTAAGACATAAAATTATAAAACTCTATGAAAAAAACATGGGGCAAATCTCTATAGTCTTGGGAGTTGATGACCGTTTCATAAAGATGATGCCAAAAGCACAGACAACAAAAGGAAAAATAAATTTGGCTTGACATTAGGCCTGAAGGGTCCAAAGGACCCCTCTGCACTCTTCTTCCCTTTAGAGACAGGGTCTCACTGTAGGGCTGAGGGGCTGTGGGTCATCATAGCTCACTGTAACCTTGGACTCCGGGTCTCAAGGATCTTCCTGCCTCAGTCTCCTGAGCAGCTGGGATTATAGGAGCCACAATCACACCTGGCTAATTTCTTAAATTTTTTGTAGAGATAAGGTCTTGCTCTTGCTCAGGCTGGTCTTGAACTCCTGGCTATAAGCAATCCTCCTGCCTCAGCCTCCCAAAGTGCTGGGTGTGAACTGCCACACCTGGTCTTTTCTGCACTCTCTTTCTTCACAGCTGTATTTACTTCTTGCAAATCTATTAATCATTTCAAAATAAAATACTGTGGGGCTCTGCAAACACCCAGCTCACTGCCTGGGGAGCTTCAGGCTAAGGCATGGGAAGGGACATAGGTGGGCCTGCGGGTTCCTGACTTACAGGTAGAGATGAGGGTCAGGAGAACACCACCAGAATTCCCAGACAGGCATTGGAAAGTGAGAGTTGGTGGAGGCAGCACATGGCCTCTGCGTGTCCAGCAGAGGACAGAGGCGCGAGCATGTGCAGAGTGGCCAGACAGAGGCTGTTAGAGCAGGAAGGAGACGCTTACTGCCAGGGCCTCACAGGGCACTCAGCAGGCAGAGCGCAGGGGACCCGCTAGACACACCACAGATGTACCGCCTAGAGGGAACAAACTGCTTCTGAGGAACTCAGCTGCATCTGGGACAAAACCTAAATCACCAGGCAAGCACCCGGCCAGAGGCACTGCACACAGAGGCCAAGTCCTGCTAGGGACCAGGCCCTCCACTGCGCAGACCCAGAGCTGGTGCGGTCAGCAGGGAAACAGTCACCACAACTGTGCTTCCAAGTCCAGGAACAGGGGGAGGCCACAAAACCACCTGATAGGAAAGTCCCAATTCTGGGGATGCTGCCTGAGAAAAGGTCAGTGAGCTTGAGACAAAGTGATAGAAACAGTTTGAAAAGAGAACCGTCTTCAGTAAGCTGTGGAATGACATCAGCAGTTGAAGACAGGTAATTGCAACTGCTGAAAGGGAGGATGAAAGCAAGAAGTCTTTGCAGATCAACTGCTTAAAAATTCCCAGACTTGACAAAGACTCACAGATCCAAGGTGCTCAAGATGCCCAAGCAGGAAGAACACAGGACCACTGAGCAGGGAGGACCATCGTAGAAACTCTAACAGGGAGATGGCTGCACAGAGAGCCCAGATGCACTGGTCCTCTCAGATGCGCACACTGGATCCTCCTGTCAGCAACTGGGTAACAGTCCAGAGGCCCCCAGTGGGGGGATGCACGAGCACACCGCGGTCCATCCACACAATGGCCCATCACCCAGAAGTATAAGGAACCGAGCCACTGGGCCTGCACCAGCACAATGGGCCTCAGCACAGCTCTGTGCAGAGACGCCAGAGAAGGGGTGCATGTTTCTGCTTCCACTGACGTAGGAGACCAGGTTGGGGCGCTCATCTGCTGTGTGGCCAGCAAGCCTATGGCCTGTGGGGGGGCAGAGGGAAGGGCATTGAGGTGCAAGGACCATCTGGAGTGGTGGGTACATTCCTTACCCTGACTGTGGCCGTGCCTTCCCAAGCAATGCACATCAGAACTTACCTATGTGTGTACAAACAGATCAACACGTGTCAGTTGTACCTCAATAAAGCTTTTTAAACAAGGAGACAGATTTTACAATCACACAATCAACACCAGGAGTATTCTACTCCTTTAGTGCTGCAGCACTGAGGGTCCAGCAGGTCAGGAAAGACTCAAGATTCAGGCCATGACACAAACATCCTCTGTCAAGGACCGACCACATGGGACGCATGGCTGTCAGAGTGCCCAGCGACACAGCTTGAGCTGGCTGTAGCAGTGCATGAACTTGCTTGCAAGTGAACCGCAGACAGGCTGCTTCCTTGGGATGAGTCCTGACACGCCATGCGCTAAAGTGTGTCATGTGCTGAGACACCACCCACGTGTGGACCAGGGTGCACCCTGGTGTCACTACTGGACATTGCGCACCTTCCTGGCACAGAGCAGCCTGGCCTCTGCATGGGTATCAAGGTCAGGGTGTCACTGTGCTCCAGATCCTGCCCAGGAAAGCTGACAACTCTGGGCCAGTGCTGTCCTGGGAGGTCTTACTGGTTCACCTGCTATGACTGGCAGGCATCACGAATTGTAACAGGGACTTAGAGCTGAGTGAGGTGCACGCTGAAAAGTGCTCAAAGGAAACAGCCTGTGCTGGCCACTGTGGTCCCAGTCTCTGAAATAATTGAGCCTAGTCATGAGCACAAAAGTTGATGGTGAACAGTGACTCTGTACGTGACAGCAGGTTGAATGTTCACAGCTCTGTTCCCAGATTACCTTGGCTGGAATGTCTCCAGTCCAGGGCAATTCTTTGAATTCCTAATTGTGTGGTGTGCAGACACTTAGGGTCACTCCTTTTGGACGTCTGAGAGGGAGCCCGTCACCACCCGGGCAGACAGTGAGAATAGGTTTAGAAGGGCTGCCTGGCCACGGTGAGGGCCGGCGGCCGTGTCAGAGCAGAAGGAAGGGGTGGCAGCCCTAAGGTGGGCGGCGAGAGGGCATCAGGCAACCAGAGGTGGGGGAGAGCCATGGCAATCCCGAGAGTGAAGGCTGGACTAGGGGGTGCCTAGGGTTGCTGAAGGTGTTGCTTGAGTACGAAACCAATGACACCAGGCTCCAGAAGGCGATATGAGACGAAACAGAGCAGGCAATGTTCCCAGGGAAACCCAAGTGCTAATCTATGTCGGAAGCCGATCACTAGAAATCCTTTGGCACACAGCCCTACCTGTGCCAATACAAGATGCACAAACGTGCTTAGGATTCTGGTCCCCAAAACCTCAGCCAGCCACCCTGCCCAGTTGAGGGCAGGCCTGGTCTGCAGAGGTGGCACCTGCACCCTGAGTGGAGGGCCCGGAGCCAAAGTCAACAGGGCTGCCCTGCTCTCCGAATGTCCTCTTAGGGGACGTGACATGGCGACAGCGGGAGCCCTGCAGCACGGCATCCCCCCTCCTCCCCGGGAGCACCGGCCCAGCGCTGTCTTACCACCGCGTTGTGCTCCACCCGCGAACGCACTTGCTCCACTTTGCCTTCGATCACTCTGGGGAACACCGACGAGTCTGCTCCTTTGCAAAACAGGTAAATTTCTCCTAGAAAGTGACCCCCCCCCCAATAAAGATGGTTAATCACAATATGAAGACTGAATTATTTTTCAAAGTATTCCATTATTAAAAAACAAAAACCAGGCTCGGCGCCTGTGGCTCAAGTGGCTAAGGCGCCAGCCACATACACCTAAGGTGGCGGGTTCAAATCCAGCCCGGGCCCACCAAACAACAATAATGGCTGCAACCAAAAAATAGCCGGGCGTTGTGGCGGGCGCCTATGGTCCCAGCTACTTGGGAGGCTGAGGCAGGAGACTCGCTTGAGCCCAGGAGTTAGAGGTTGCTGTGAGCAGTGAAGCCATGGCACTCTACCCAGGGGCTCAGCTTGAGGCTCTGTCTCAAAAAAAAAAAAAAAAAAACCAGAAATACCAGACCATTTGAACCAGCTAACGTGTTACAGTAGCAAAAAAACTAAACCTATGGATGACCCCAAAGCCTCACTGGAAACCTCACAGGACAGTCAGGAGCCAGGGAGAGGAACTGGCTCCTGGGAGTTCTGCTCCTAACCCCGCCTCCTCTCTGGTGAATATAGGACAGAACATCCTGGAAGGCGAATAGCAGATCTCCTGGGAAAAGCTGAGCCCTGTGCCTCATAGGAAGCACCTTGGAGATCAAATCCAGAGGGCAAAAGAAGCAGGTGGGCAACACCTGGCACAGCCACCCTCTGGGGGAACGTTAACTGGGGACGTGGACAGGACACATGGGCCGACAACCAGAGCAGGGACTGTGCTGTGGGCTCAGGAGAGGCATCAGGCATCCGCCCTGACTTTTCCCAGATCCAAGAGCACTAACTTCTAGGAGCTACCCGCAGAGAGATGGAGGCGACCCAGACACCACTCATTCTAACTTCTGGGAGCCACTCGCAGAGAGATGGAGGGACCTAGACACAACTCATCCTCACAAAAGCCCATGACTGGCGTCAGTGCCAATTCAAGCCAGGAATGGACAGAGCCAGTGATGCTGGTGCTGCAGGAACAGGCAGAGCTGGAGCCTGTGGGCACAGGGAGCTGACAAGGACAACACCCATGTGGCCTCAGGGTTCATGGCCCAGACCCTATGTTGCTCATCATGGTTCTGGGATTGGCCCATAGCTGCAGGAATCTCTGACCTCCACACATAGCTCAGCAGTGCTTGTGGGTTATCAGACACTCTCTGGAATAAGACTCACAGTCTAGATAGTTCAGTGACCTATAGTTGAACTACAAGGTTTTTCCCAGGACAACCATGTTTCGTGGCTCAGGGTGCAGGCGAATGGCTTAACCTTCCATTTCCCTCACCCATTGGAAGACCTGGGACCCTTTAGTCTGCAAAGGTGCTCAGGCTGAGTCTTGAGATGCAGAAGCTCAGGAGACAGGAGCACTTCACCCACAGCAAGCAAGAGCAGTCTGGCACCTGCTGGTCCAGCACTGGGAATGAGCGTTTGCTCCCTGACTCAGCCACACACAGGGTTCTGGTCTTCCCCACACAGTGTGGTCGTGCCTGGGGCGACTGGAGCTACAGCTGGGGTGCCAACCATTCCGTACTGAGAAGGGTCCTTTGGAGATGAGCAAAACCACAGTTTCAGCCCCTGTGGCTGGGCTTGGTTTCCTGCCGTGCCCCACACACACGGCTTGAGGAAATGGAAAGCCAAGTGTGACAAGCAGAGGTCTCAGCAACAGCTGCCTTGTGGCAGAAACAGGACAGCTGGCAAGCAGCTCTGAGAGTGAGCAAAGTTAGCACTTCTTTTGGTGTCACTGGGTTGCTCACTCTCACTGTGAGCAGAGGGAACATCGGCATAGCATGTTCCATAGGCCAGGTCCCAATCTTTCCCCCAGCAGGGGTCTGATGCAGCCTGGTGGCTCGGGACTCCCAAGTCCTGCCTAAGATTCAGCTGCAGGGAGCCACATGCCACAGAGATAGGCAGTGGCAACAGGTCTCTCTGAGGCACAGGGGTGGGGCAGAGACCCTACTCTGATGGCTGCCCCCTGCCAGCTGAAACCTGTGCAATCAGTGCACCTCCCCAAGGAGGACAAGTCCTTTAGTTAAATGCTCAGACTTCTCTTAAAATTAATTGAGGCCGTGGCTGGTGTCTGAGGGCCGGGTCTACTTTCAGTGGCTCTCAGTTCCTCAGAGACACCCAAGGACATCCACAAACGTGTCCTGATGGACAGGAACATTCTATTGGCACAAATGCCTCAGGTCCCAACTATTAGTGTGACCCAGCTCCTTGTAAGCTTTTTGACGGGAATGGGAGTTATCTGGGAAGATTCCAAGGTATGGTTGTGATGTCCACACTGAGGTCTGGGTGGTTCTGCACTACACAAAGGCCATTTCTGAGAGTGAGTGACAGACAGGAGCAGCTCTGCAGGTGGCAGGCACATCCTGCCTGAACAGCATCTCCCTACACAGCTCAAGTAACCCCAGGACAAGACGACCAGTGAGGTAACCCCACTATTCAATGCTGTTATCCTGGCTGTTCAGACGGTGCAGACTCTGGTGCTGGCTGGAGTGGCCTCCTGCCACAGCACTTGGGAACTGTCTCCAGATGCCTCCCTGCAGCCCCCAACCAGCTGCCAAGGCCTCTCTCATGGGTGCTATGGGCACCACAGATGGCTGTACCGCCTGAGGGTTAGCGGAGTCACCTGGTACGGCCTGGTCTCTCCCCATTTTTGCTGGTCTGACTCTGAGGGGGAACCGCCAGGCCCTGAGGAGTTGGCCGTGGCACTTCCAGGGATGGACGGAGCCCAGCGAGACTCAAGACTACCAGCTGGCAAGAGGCTCACACGGAGAGGCCACCATGAAGTCACCACGGCTGGCGTAAGGGTCTGACCCAGCAGTCCATACTGTTTACCCTCCCGCCACAAAGGCAAGAATGGAGTTTGTTCTCCTCAGATAAAGATAATTTGTCACAGCAACCAGGCAGCCCACAAGCTCACCCCATTCAGAACATTATTATAGATACATTTGCAGGCTCACATTACCTTTTCTTAAAAACTGACTATTTAAATACACATTATTTAGATGTTCATGGAGAAAAGCTGATGGGCTTATTACTAGGGTTAAACAAGCAGCTGTCAGCAGTGCTCTGACCCCAACTCAGCACTGACACCGCGGACTCATTTTTTAAGTTAAAAAAAAATCAGTAGCATAAAAAGGTTTATACCAAAAAACAGAGAATAAATGCTCCTTAAATCTTAAACCTTTAAACTTCCCGTAGAATTAGCCATCAGAATACAGCACCACCACCATGCATGATCAAAGGGATCACGGGAACAGGACGTCTCTACCTGCAGCAGATTTCACAATTACACTCATTCTTCTTCTTACTGAATCAAAGCTCAGAATTTCCAGCAACTCAAATCTGAAAAAGAAACATGGGAAGTTGTACAACCCACCTGGCTGGCAGCCCCTTGCTGCTCGCCCCTCCGTGCCCGTGAGGTACCTCTGCACGGGGACCTCTACCCCGGAGGGTCAGAGGGTGCAGCAGCAGTGCCTACAGGAGAATGGCCTATTGGCCCACACCGGGACTGACCTCCCCATGCCCCACGCCGCACTGGCTGTAGGCCCCTTCTCATGCTGATACACTGTGGCAAAGCCGGGGACACAGACCCACAAAGCTTTAAATCCCTGTAAATGGACCCCTATGTTGGTAAGAACCATAGAAAGGCTAAGAACATGAGCTAAGTTAGCTTGTGCAGTATTATTACCAGGAAACTCATAATATCTCCGTGGCATTTGGAACATCAGCTACCTCTGAAAACTTCTTGGGGCTTACGACCTAGCAGGGAGCTGAGAAGGATCTCCCAGTGCGGGTGCTGCCAGAGCGGAGGTCCCCACAGTGGGGCTGGATGTGTGCTCTGGTGGTGGCAGAGACCTTGGTGCCTTCACCGTCGGAAACCAGAAGCACCAGCGGCAAGTCCCTGCCCAGGGTGCCCCTGACCCAGTGGGGCCTAGCACTGTGGCAACTGCTAGGGTCAGGGGTCCCGGAGCTCGTCCCCTGGAGTTGCAAGGTTCCTACTCTTCACCTGAGAGTTTATTTTCCATAAGAACAAAATGTTAAAATCTAGTCCTCTATGAGCCATCACTACCATATTCCATGTCCTCTGCCACCCATCTCCGTAGTTCCTCTCACTGCACACTCGGGATGATGGAGACTCGTCTCCCAACCTCCCACATCAGCGCAAGGTGGTGCAGTGCGAGGGCAGCCAGCTAGAGCCTGAGACAGTCCCAAAGAGTCAAAAGATCTTCAGAGACAAGAAAAGTAAGGCAATCCACCACCAAGTTGGTCACTCAGGAGTGCCAGTGGGCAGCTGTCCTCCAAGTCGGGCTGTGCTCTCAGAGTCCTGCTCCCTGCAGGGCACTGCTGCTGGCTGGAGCCGAAACACACCAGAAGCCCTGAGACCGGCAGTAAGGCCTGCCTGTGACCCAAACATGTCTGACAGTGAAATGCTTTTTCACTAAATGCCAATTTATACCTCCAGGGAAAACTGTATGGGGTGGCAGCCTCTTGAAAGCACCTGCCCCTCAAACCAGCAGGCAGGCCCCGGGAAAGTTCCCACGATGGGAAGCAGAAAGAGGGAGAGTGGGCATTGCAGAGTGCGGAGAACCCTGCAGAGACCCTTCCCCTTCATCCTCATGGTCTGACCTGGAGCACACATACCTCTCAATGTCGTTGTCCCTGTTCAGTATCTCCATGTAACTGTCCTTGAGCCTTAAGTACGTGAAGCCCAGTCTGCAAAGGAGAAGACAAATCCAGGGTTAATTCATGATGCTGATGTTCTCGTTTATAGAATATTGTTTTACATCTTGGAAAAGCTTTCTTTTCAAAAAGGAAAAACACTTTCAGTAAATCAGAAGTTCTAAGCTGCATTATAAAGTTAGGAAGTCACAATATTGAATTTATTCATCAACTTAAATTCTCCAAGAACACCACAATTTCTACTCTATCTGACCCTCCTTAGCGCCGGCACGGCAAGGCAGCTGCCCCAGCTGTGTCTGGCCCCGGTTCTTCTTATAGCCTCACTGACAGGCGGGTGCTGTGGCAGAGAACGTCAGGTCAGAGTGAGGGATGCTTGCCCATCTCCAGACTGACCTGGGCATGTTACTGATGGGAATTTGGGCCCTGCAGGCCACTCATCCCACGTGCGTGGAGCACCTGTCTGCACTGTGCCCTCTCCTGCACACCTGAGAGCATGGTGCTTCCTGGGCTATGTGGGCACCTGCTGCCGCAGAGACAAAGCTGGCTGTGGGACTTACAGGCTGCCAGGGCACAGGGAGATGGACGCACTTCCCGACATGGCTACAGTGACACTGCAGTGCTGGGGACCGTGGGGAGATGTATCACAGCACCCACAGGGCTGAAGGTCAGCCAGGTGGCCTGTCTCTGATACCCATGGCTGCAGATGCTGGGTTCCTGAGCCCTTGCTTTCCAGGAAGGGGTAAATTCAGCTTTGAGAACCCTCACAGACACAGGCAGGTTTAAACTTTTTTTTTTTTTTTGAGACGGAGCCTCAAGCTATCCCCCCGGGTAGAGTGCCATGGCATCACAGCTCATAGCAACCTCCAACTCCTGGGCTCAAGCGAGTCTCCTGACTCAGCCTCCCAAGTAGCTGGGACTACAGGCGCCTGCCACAACGCCCGGCCATTTTTTAGTTGCAGCCATCATTGTTGTTTGGCGGGCCCGGGCTGGGGATTCGAATCCACCACCTTAGGTGTATGTGGCTGGCGCCCTAGCCACTTGAGCCACAGGCGCCAAGCCAGGTTTAAACATTTAGTAAAGGCCCAGGGCATTATCCTGTGGGGATCTGGGCCATCTGGGCCACTGATACAACTGGTGAGGAAAACACACTAGTTCAGCAACACTGAAAACTGCCTGGCAGGTGACAGGTGCCAACACATTCTTCCTCCTGACCACCCTGGCCTTGAGAGTGACACCCCTGTCCTGGCAGGCAGAGGGGAGATTTAGAGCCTTTACTATTCATAAGAATCGTGATCTCTGAAAACTCAAGAAAGACTTTGCTGACTTGAAATTACACCAGGCATCTGAAATGTTAAAAGTATTTTTCCAAGCGTTTGCTTAAAATGCTGTATCTCATGATGCAGCAAGAACTTCCCAAGAAAAGATCTTCCAGGAACAGAATGCACACAGAACTAATACCACATAACCCCAAGAAAAGGCAGAGAATGGAGGGGCCTCTAGCCTAGCACTCTCTCTGAGCCTAACTCTGGGAGCGTGGTGACATTTGGGCTTCAGTTTTTTTAGAATGTAGGAGGGAGCTTTGTGTGAGAGGAGGAGTAGGATTGTCTGCACCTTTAGAAGCCTGTGGTTGATGCATATGGTCCACAGGTGTCAGGAGGGAAAGCCACCCACACAACACAGAGGTGGGGACTCCAGCACCAGGGCACACACAGGCTCCTCACGAGGGGCCTCCTTACCCAGACACACAGACACACAGGGTACATGTGTGCATACGAGAAAGAAAATCAGACTTTCATCAACTTGTTTAATGTAATAGAGCAGCCTGTGCCCTGGCGCTGGAGCCCCCACCTCTGTGTTGTGTGGGTGGCTTTCCCCCGCCCCCTGAGCACAAGGCCGTGACCGTTTGGCAAACATGTGGCACAGGGGAAGAGAGACCATTCCCAAGACCAGGCCATGATGGCTGGAAACAGGCAGAGCCTGATCGTGACACACAACTCTCATCTAACCCACCTTTGCATGCCCTCGACCAGCGCCACCTCATCGGGCGAGGATGAGATGTACACACAGGACTTCCCGGAGTCCAGCGACACCCTGGGGCCATCCACATTGTCATCATCTTTCACCTGGACGGTGTGGCAGAGGCAGAGAGCCCGGAAAAACAGCTCCTCACTTTCCTATGAAAATTAAAAACCCCAAAAAGTATCTCAAGAATGGAAGAAAAAGTATCCAGTGTACTCAGTCCTACTATGAAACTAACTTACAGCTGTCATATGAAAGCTATAACCCAATTATAGCCCAAGAATATAGGGAAAGGGGAGGGGGGAAGAGGATGGGTGCAGGGAGGGTAATTGGTGGGGACCACACCTACCGTGCACCTTACAAGGGTACATGTGAAACTTAATAAGTGTAGAATATAAATCTCTTAACACAATAAAAAAAAAATAAAAAAGAAAGAAAATTAAAAACCCCAAACCGTGCGGCTGCCTGGTCAGCTCAGCCCTCACTGCCAGGAGGTGGCGTTCTGACCATGGCTTTCCCTCCCCTGAAACACTCCCGTGGTGGAGGGCTGAGATTACTGCACAGGGAAACGAGAGGTGCTTTCCTTGGCCTGGCACTGTACAACGCTCGGGGGGTTCATGCCTTCAGAAAGCTGGCACCCACCAAGCTTCCAGGAAAGCAACTGAGAGGTGCTTCTGTGCCACCCAAGCACAGCAAACACGGACATCAACAATACCCTGGGCCTGATGCCTGTGGGAATGACCCTCCTGACAGCTCCATGTCTCATTCCAGACAGGACCCATGGAGCTGTGTGCTCACACTGTGACCTCACTCTAAAGCCACCACAGGGAGGGAGCTGCTCTCCTGTCTGTGGCTGTGAGGAGGAGATGTGGGAGGTGAAGTGACACAGCCCCTTGAACCCCATTACTGGGAGTGTGAAAGTTCCCCAGACTCTTCTGTGCAGCAGAGTCGGGAGGCCAGGTGGGTGGGCTCAACCCTGCCCCTGCCCACAGCCACAGGCCTCTGTGATCCAATAGTGGTTGGTGTCTCATAGCCCACTGGAAACACGTGAGGGGACACAGTGCGCGGGGTGGGAGGGCACAACTGCACACCCTGACATGAGCTGACCCAATCTTCACCACACCACACTGTCCCCAGCCCCACTTGGGTGTGCTGGGATCTGCAGCCACAGTGCTCAGGCGTGTGTGTGTCTGTGTGTGCCTGTGCAAGTCTAGGTGTGTGTGCATGTATGCCTATGTGTCTGTGTGTGGCTGTGCAAGCCCAGGTGTGTGCATGTACACACTACGTGTATGTGTGTCTGTGCGTGTGCACGTCTGTCTCTGTGTGCATGTGTGTGGCTGTGCAAGCCCAGGTGTGTGCATGTACATACTACGTGTGTGTATGTCTATGTGCGTGTGCACGTCTGTCTGCCTCTCTGTGTGCATGTGTGTGTCTGTGCAAGCCCAGGTGTGTGCATGTACATACTACGTGTATGTATGTCTATGTGCGTGTGCACGTCTGTCTGTCTCTGTGTGCCTGTGTGTGGCTGTGCAAGCCCAGGTGTGTGTGTGACTATGTTTGTGTGCACATCTGTCTGTGTCTGTGTGCATGTGTGTGGTTATGCAAGCCCAGGTGTGTGCACATATGCACACACCTGTGCACTGCATGTCTGCATGTGAGCCCATGTGCATGTGTGTGCTCACCCCACTTAGCATGCCATCTGCCCGGCGTGCCCGGTTCTAACAGGGGCGTCACTAGCCATGGAGGGCACATGGCATCAGCAGACTATCCACGGCACTGCAGCCCACAGAGAAGCCACTCTCCTAGGCCCCAGAAGAAGGGATGGGGGGGCCACCTACCCTGCTGCTGACGCCAGGCGAGGAGTCGATCATGTCGATCCCGGTGGCGTCGGGGAGCACCTGGCCGTTGCAGACAGCATGGGGCACGTAGACGTGGCCCCCAATGCAGCACTCCTTGAACTCCATGTTGTTCTCCGTCAGGGTGCCGGTCTTGTCCGTGAAGACGTATTCCACCTGTGGGACCAGGTGCTCTGCTCAGACACATGGGGCCAGGGCCCTCCCCACACTGGGGGAGGAGAGGCTTTCTGCAACACTAATTTTACCCTCATAGGCTGTGCATGATTGTTTCTCTGTTATGTTAAACGAGTTTATGAAAGTCTTTGATTTTCTTTCAAGTAGTTTGTTGTTGGTGTTCAGAAATGCCATGACTTTTGTAACCTAATTTTGTATCCTACAAATTAACAAAACTTATTTCTTGGTTCTAACAGATTTTTGGTGGAATCTTTAACATACTACTGACTTTGGTTTACTGGTATTTGTTGAAGGTTTTTGCAACTATATTTGTCCTGGATACTGGCCTATGATTCTCTTTTCTCAAGGGGAGACAGCCAATCCTAAGACAGACACTAATCAAGGCTACTACTGTCAGCATTGCCACCAGAACAGAAGATGCTCTGACTGCAGCCATCGGCGTGTGCTCAGAGGGGCCCAGGCCTTGCCCCTGCACTATGGCTGATAGAATAATCTTTGGAGCCCCAGTGTCTTGTCTGAGAAACAGCTGATGACAATTGCCACCCAGGACTTCTTAGTGGACACAGACACGTGGGTGGTGGCCACGTTTCTGCTGTATACACAGAAGCAGCCATCCTGTTCTGCCGCATCAATGCCCACGCGCAGGTGGGTCCCACCCATATCAATCTGCCATGCTGACCTCAGTGCCAGGTGCGGGGCCAGTCAGCCTCCTGCTAGAGCAGGGTTAGATCAGGTCTGACAGACATCAGCTCCCGTTTTGACGGCCCCCAGCGAGGCGAATTGGGTTGAGGAGGAAGGTGTGTGGCCCCTGAACACTACTGGATATTTCTGTTACTGAGGAGTATCTTTCCTGATGATGCTCTCAGGGATACACAAAATACACCGTCGGTTGTTGCAAAGGATAAGACTAAGATAAAAGTATCCTGCTATGGGAACAATTAAACTCTGGCTTGCATGCTGCTGACTGCAGCAATGAACTTCAGGGAGGGAGAGGGACAGACTGACAAAGTCTACACAGGAGCTGCTGTCTTCCCATGGTGTGCGCTCTTCTAGGGGTGGGTGGGGGCCTGCTCTGTTGCCAGACTGGGGGCCGTGGTGGAGGCTTCAGCTGCCAATTTCAAGAGGCCCTGTTTGCAAAAATGCTCCCCAAAGTTTCCCTATTCTTTTTTTTTAAAGACCAAAGAATTACTGTTTGCCAAACTATATCCTGAATTTTCCCAGTTCAGGCTGGGAAGGGCAGGGAGACAGCCCCTTCTGGTTGAGAGAACTGAGCCCAGTGTTCCCTGAGCCCCTGCCCAGGGCAGCGGGTCGTCCAGTGCTATGGGGACCCTGGTGCAGCAGGGCCATGGCCACTGCCACTGCGGTGGTCACTCCACACACTGTCACGGGCACCTTATGTCTTTAGCCTCATTTAGTCTCCACTGCGGTCTGGCCAGGCAGGAATCTGTCATCACCCTCCTCTGACCACCTGAGAACTCACGGTGTGAAATGGGGGAGCATCTGAGCTCACAGGCCATCATGGCACTCTCAGCCTGGGCTGCTCATCTTTAGAAACAGCACAGTGAGAACTCAGCACTGCAGTGAGGATGGGTGGAGGGGATGGTGCTCACCTGAGCCCACCAGCTCTAGGCCACGCCACTGACACAGAGGGAGTAGCGGTGCCACCCAGGATGTGTTAGCCACCGCGGTAACTGGGTTTGCACACATGACACATACAAAACCACCATCAACTGTTTTACAAGGTGAAAACAACTTTGCCCTCATCTGTCACCAGTTACGGGTCACAGCTCTGCGCATGAATTAAAATGAAAGTATCACACAAGACGACAGAGGATGGCCAGTGACGCACTGTCTGTCACTGTGCACCTGAGACAGCCGGAGATACTACCTGGCCCAGGATGGCCAGTGACGTGTTGTCAATCATGGCACACCTGAGTCAGCCGGGGACACTGACCTGGCCCAGCTCCTCGTTCAGGTCCGATGTGTTCACCAGGGGCCCCTCGCCGGTGTCCTCGTCAAACATGTCCTCGTCCCAGGTGATGAAGTAGGAGCCCAGGAACTTCTGCATCTCCACCGTGACGTACATGGACACAGGGATGATGTAGTTGAACAGGACCATGAAGGCCAGGAAGTCGGTAAACGCCCTGAGGAACTGAGAGTCCCGCGGGGTCAGCCTACCAGGGAGCACCAGGCCGAGGCTCATCTGGGCCCTAGACACAGGCATGGGCTCTGAAGGGCTGTCCCCAGACACACTCCAGATCCACAGTGAGGGGTGAAGGGTGAGGGGTTGGGGGTGGGGGTGAAGGGCACTCAGCAGCAATTTCTGGGTCAGGACCCACCAGGGCAGGGGCTGCCCAGCGAGCTCCCAGGGTGAGGGAAGGGGGGAGACTAAACCACCTGTTACAATACACATGCGTCAGTGACAGGAGCCCACGCTGACACGAGCCCCAGGTACATGTGCATTTGAGCAGTGAAGAGATTTCTTTCTGACCTCATATAACCAAACTTACTAGGTAACAACCCAGAAAGTCAAAAAAATAAGCCTGGTAAGAATGACTTTCCTGCATAATTTTACTCTGATCTTTGAAGCCATCAGTTTTGTGGGAGAGGATAGGCTGACACACCAAGATGGCCCTCCTCTAGGCTCACTGCACAGGGTGCCTACTCAGGGCTTAGTATACCCTGGGTTTGCAGGCAGTCCTGTTATGGGCTTAGTGCACACAGGCTTGGGTTTGCACATGGCCCTGTCTGGGCTCAGTGCACATGGGGCTGAGTTTGCACACGGCTCTGCTCTGGGTTTAGTGCACATGGGGTTGCGTTTGCACATGGCCCTGCTCTGGGCTCAGTGCACATGGGGCTGAGTTTGTACACGGCCCTACTCTGGGCTCAGTGCACACGGGGCTGAGTTTGCACATGGCCCTGCTCTGGGCTCAGTGCACACAGGGCTGAGTTTGCACATGGCCCTACTCTGGACCTAGTGCATTACCACAAACATGTACCATGTACCTCATAATCATTAAAAAGTATTCACTAGGCACCCCTAAACAAAGCACAAGGTTCCAGGGAAAAAGTATGTAAGGTACCATCCATATCAATTTAGAGTGGGACTCAACACCTTTCTACACTTGTGTGTTCAAATTCCTGAAGGCACTGGGAACACTTGGTCTCTCCTGAGACTTTAAATCTCAGTGAATGAATCTACACATGCATGTGATCAGTCGCACACTAACGCCAGGCCGTCTTTAGTCACAGAGGGAGCTGCTGTCCATACCAGGTTCCTCTGCCTTTCTGACTCAGTTTTCTGATTATACCAGGGCTCATCTCGAAATGTCTCACTCTGCCACACGTATTTGAGGACGGTGTTTATCAGGGCCTTGCTGATCAGGATGCAGAGGTACACGATGAGGAACACATTCATGGACCTGTGACACAGGACAGCCTCGGTCACTTCCTCGGAACATACCAGAAGACTCAGAACAGGAGGGGCACAGCACGTGCTCCAGGCCAACACCCCTGATCAGATGCAGTGAGGACAGAAGGGGAGCCCACCGCGCCTGCGCCCCCTGCTCACGTAATTCCAGAGGCTGCTAGGGACAGAAACAAGCAAAGGGGCAGTTTGCAGACAGGAGGGAGAATTGTGCATAATCATGTTGCTGACAACCTCTCTGCACAGACTGGATTCTGTAATTTAAAGGAACATCCAGAAATCAATTCTTTCTACCATTAAATATCAACAAATAAGTTGAAAATTTAGTGATTACAACTACTAGGGAGGGAAAGGAGGGAGGGAAGAAAGGAAGGAAGGAGGAGAGAGGAGGAAGAGAGGGGGGAAGAGAGGGGGGAAGAGAGGAGGGAGGGAGGAAGGAATGAGGGAGTGGAAGGGGAAAGGGGGAAGTGGGGAAGGAGAGGAGGAAAGGGAAGTGGG